TGTCGGCATCTGAAAGTTATGCTTGTTGCTTTCCAATCAAACATTTCACATGAGTCTTTGTTTTAGCCTCTCAATCACACAGAAGAGGGCGGACTGTAATAGAGCCGGGAACTTGACACCGACAGATTTCAAACAAACCAATAAATATCCACAAGACTGCTGCTACTGCTTTTACTTAAGAGTTGATCTCCATGGCAACAGGCTATTATGGGAAAGCTGCCTCTATGTCTTTCTCTCTCTAATTGTGCTGCTGTTAGCTGGCAGCACTGCTGCTAGATTAGCACATACAGTACAAAAGACGCAAACATCATTTCCTGCCTGTGGATATGCCAAAGAACAGGAAGTGCATCCTGAGATATAAACGATGACGGATCTGTGAACTTATTATTAACCACCAGGTCTGAGTTGCTGAAGTGGCTTTCTGAATTTTAGTCTCAAAAGTAAAGGGCACAGTCACTAGCCACCTCTGGTACCTCTAAATGCCACCTCCGCCTCATCTGCAACGGCAAAGTCCACAAAATGCAAACTGCTGCCGAAGCCGTATCCATATATAGCCATAAAACATAATATCGCCACTATCAATATGGTAATTTTCCCATCCCAGCCCTAGAGATCATAAAGCCTGTATTTGGTAGCATATTTTCATCAATAAAAAGGGAGGGTGTTCTTGAGTCTGCATCCTGTGTTTAAAAGCCCCATTAAATCACAATGTGGTTGTAACCGAGGCCCTGGCTCTCCCCTTGAAGGTCACTTTAGCAGTCTCTGGAAATGGGCTCCAACCGACTGTCTTCAGTGGTTTCCTAATGGAAACTACTGTTTGGCAAACACAGTTGTGAGACTAAGGCATACAATATAAGGCAGTAATCTAAAGATTGTGGTAAATTGTTTTGTACAGTACACCAATAGTTCATGACTGACTTTAGGGTATACACACACACACACATTCACCAGTGTTTCTGCTACATTCATGTGTGTAGTGATGGGTTGTTCTTTAATGATTCATTAATTTTGAACAAATCTTTAATATGACTCGGGAACGACGAGTTGTCTCAGCGCGGGATTCATTCATTTCATGTTGATCGCACATGCACAATGAAATTAGTTCACCTCTCGAGTCTTCAGGTCCGAGTCGTTCGTTCTTTTGTCATGTGACGTGAGAGCAGCAATGGATACAGATCATTGTTGGATAACGCTTTAAACTTTATCCATAGGATGAGGAAAATCACTTTGATAATACCTAAATACTGTATAACACAACATTACAAGATACGGAAGTGGCCACGTGACAAAAGAACGAACGACTCAGACCTGAAGACTCGGGAGATGAACTAATCATTTCTATTTCCTGTAAAGACTGCATAACTTTAGGTTAACCTTATGGGGATGTGACGTGACAAAAGAATGAATGACCCGAAGACTGGGGAGGTGAGGTGAACTAAGCAATGAATTATTAATTTCTGTTTCTTATGATTTGGTCTTGGTTGCATTATAGTTTATATAATGGGATCAATGTTTGCGTAAATACAGTAGATTTGTTGGGGAATTTGGATATTAACTTGTAACATTTTAATTATATTCTGCTGAAATGAACGAAATGACTTGGAAAAATAATTTGTTCAATTTGCTTAAAGAGATTCAAAGATCCGAGTCAGTAAAATGGATTCTGCAGTATTTTTGCAGAATCCAAGTGCTGAATATATACAAACATTCAGTACTATTCAATATTCAGCTCAATACTCTTCTTGCAGTACATACAGTAGGCCTATACAATATATTCACCTTACTCAGTTGCAATTACTATACTTTTTTAAAATGCAAACTGCTGCCGAAGCCGTATCCATATATAGCCATAAAACATAATATCGCCACTATCAATATGGTAATTTTCCCATCCCTAGAGATCATAAAGCCTGTATTTGGTAGCATATTTTCATCAATAAAAAGGGAGGGTGTTCTTGAGTCTGCATCCTGTGTTTAAAAGCCCCATTAAATCACAATGTGGTTGTAACCGAGGCCCTGGCTCTCCCCTTGAAGGTCACTTTAGCAGTCTCTGGAAATGGGCTCCAACCGACTGTCTTCAGTGGTTTCCTAATGGAAACTACTGTTTGGCAAACACAGTTGTGAGACTAAGGCATACAATATAAGGCAGTAATCTAAAGATTGTGGTAAATTGTTTTGTACAGTACACCAATAGTTCATGACTGACTTTAGGGTATACACACACACACACATTCACCAGTGTTTCTGCTACATTCATGTGTGTAGTGATGGGTTGTTCTTTAATGATTCATTAATTTTGAACAAATCTTTAATATGACTCGGGAACGACGAGTTGTCTCAGCGCGGGATTCATTCATTTCATGTTGATCGCACATGCACAATGAAATTAGTTCACCTCTCGAGTCTTCAGGTCCGAGTCGTTCGTTCTTTTGTCATGTGACGTGAGAGCAGCAATGGATACAGATCATTGTTGGATAACGCTTTAAACTTTATCCATAGGATGAGGAAAATCACTTTGATAATACCTAAATACTGTATAACACAACATTACAAGATACGGAAGTGGCCACGTGACAAAAGAACGAACGACTCAGACCTGAAGACTCGGGAGATGAACTAATCATTTCTATTTCCTGTAAAGACTGCATAACTTTAGGTTAACCTTATGGGGATGTGACGTGACAAAAGAATGAATGACCCGAAGACTGGGGAGGTGAGGTGAACTAAGCAATGAATTATTAATTTCTGTTTCTTATGATTTGGTCTTGGTTGCATTATAGTTTATATAATGGGATCAATGTTTGCGTAAATACAGTAGATTTGTTGGGGAATTTGGATATTAACTTGTAACATTTTAATTATATTCTGCTGAAATGAACGAAATGACTTGGAAAAATAATTTGTTCAATTTGCTTAAAGAGATTCAAAGATCCGAGTCAGTAAAATGGATTCTGCAGTATTTTTGCAGAATCCAAGTGCTGAATATATACAAACATTCAGTACTATTCAATATTCAGCTCAATACTCTTCTTGCAGTACATACAGTAGGCCTATACAATATATTCACCTTACTCAGTTGCAATTACTATACTTTTTTACAGAATTGCTAAATCGTTTACTCAATACAATATACTTTTTTTTCTGTAATGTTCTGGATGCTGTGTTCTCCATTTTTCTCTGTAGTTTGTAATGAATGCTTTGTAATGTATTTTATGTGTGTGTTTGTGTGTGTGTGTGTGTGTGTGATCTGAGAGCACCGGTTGATTTTGAGTGCAAGTGAAATGGTTTTGCAGTGATTGTTTGATTTTGATGGAAGAGTTCAGAGGTTTCGTGAATTTAGTTTGAGTATTTGGATTTGTGTTTTAAGGTTTTGAGAAAATGAGTGATGGTTTCAAGAAATGCGTTTTAGCAATTCAGAAAAAAACGTAATTTGAGCAGATTCTCTGTGGCCACCATAATCATTTGTAAAATTCAAAAGAACAGTAAAATAAGAGTGGAAGATAATATTGTGTAGAATTGCAAGACTAACATGTGTGGAAGTGTGGAAGAACTGGCCTGTGGGGATATTCAGTAAACGTGCTGTCTTGTCAAGGCTGGATCCGCCACACCAGAGTCCCCCCCCCATTCAGTAGTCCTCTTATTCATATGTATGTATGTATGTATGTATGTATGTATATACTGTATATGTATGTATTATATATGTGTGTGTGTTTTCCTTTTTGAGAGTAATTTGAGAGTATTTTTTATATATATTCTCTAAGATATATTCACCACACTTAGGTGTGATTTCTTTTGCTTGTGTTTACTTGTGTGTGTGTGTGTGTGTGTGTGTTTTGCAGTATTGCAAAATATTTACTATATACAATAAACAGTTTTTGTGTTTGTGTGTGTGCAACTACATGCACTGGACACTGTGTTCTCCATTTTTTTGATGTAGTATCTAATGAATGATCTGTAGTGTGTATATTATTGATTAATGTGTGTGTGTGTGATTTGAAAGCTTTGTTTGATTTTGAGTACAGGTGAAATGGTTTTGAAGCGATTGTTTGATTTTGCCAGAAGAGTCAGGACTTCTGTGAATTTTAGTTTGAAGGTTTGGATTTGTGTTTAAGGTTTTGAGAAAATGAGTGATGGTTTCAAGAAATGTGTTTTAAAAATTCAGAAAAACTGTAATGCTGCCCTCCAGTCAGAGTTGGACATTTCAAGAAATGAGGGGAAAAATGCTCCTGTATTAATTATTTTTATATTTATAACATGATAGTTCAGCAACATGACACGATCATGCTGTTTTTCTGAATATCACCACAATTGCAATGTGATTTGATAAAACAGTTCAGTAAACAAAGACACATTTTAGACACAACATGGTAAATATTGATGTATTCAATCTATTTTGCCAAAGAAAATTGTTCTAATCAAAGCAGAGCTGTCGCGCTTCCCCAAGTAACACACAGCAGCATTTTGTGTTGTTTCTGAATGAATCTGTGGTTTTTCAGAAAATTATTATTTCTACATTCAGAGTTCTATATTTAAAGCATTAACCTCATACAATTATTTATGCTTTTGTAATTGTAGTGCAAATGCAATAATAAGTGTCTCTTCATGCAGCTTCTGTGCTACTATGCAGTGCTGGATTTAGTTTAGTTTAGTTTAGTTAGTTAGTGATTTCAATTGATTGATAACAATAGCCAGTTATTCATCCCCATTAATAAAATATTCAGAGGAAAATATGGTCTGTTTTCATTTACATGAAAAATGTGTTCAATATGTTTGAATAATGAATTAACAGAATACTGCATCGTATCGTGATACTTCAGCTGGTGTCATAAGACATTTTAATGGTATCGTGATAAATAAATAAATTATATGTCTGACAATGCTAAAAATCAGCCTACAAGTGATTCTTCATAAAGTTGTTCATGGCATTTAGTGTTTTAATCTAAAACTCAATTCATATCTCTGACCTTTATTTATTTATTTATTTATTTTTCCAATTTCAGAATAAAATTATTTTGGACCCGCTAACATTCAGTGAGGCTCGCTTCAGGCCGTCACTGGAGGAACGTCTGGAGAGTATCATCAGTGGTGCTGCCCTCATGGCCGACTCCTCCTGCACACGCGACGATCGCCGTGAACGCATTGTGGCAGAGTGCAACTCCGTGCGCCAGGCCCTGCAAGACCTGCTGAGCGAGTACATGAACAATGTAAGTCCTGAACAACATTTTCTGCCATGTAGGTAGCTTGATGACTGGTTTTCAAGTGCACTATTTTTTTATTTTTGTTTTAGTTTTTCCGACTGATGATGATGAAGATGATGATTATTTATTTAATTTTTGTATTGGTTCTAGATTTAGTGACTCACAGCAAGGTTAACTTGCTGTTTAAATGCTTGTATAACGGTTTTGTGAAGGGACTAATTGTAGCAAGGCAGATTTATTTTATTCTTGCACATCTAGCTTGAAAAATATTTACCTCCAACAACCATGGTTACAGTAGTCATACATTTCAGGGAGTTGACACATACCATATAAATACACATAATATTTCTTACAAAGTGGTTATTTATTTATCAGTACTGACATCGAACATAAAAAGCTTTTTGAATAGAAAGCCTCAGCGTCATCACATATAGCGTCTGTATGAGGTTATATCAGGTTATGCACATTTCTGAAGTTTAAAATGCCTTTTTTTTACATGGAAACTTCCAGAATGGAACTTCCAGTGTGACTAAAGCGATAGCAAAGCTACACTGTCAGAAATTTCAGTTTGTATGATGATATGTTGAAATTTTCTGCAGATGTAGTGTATGTAAAGGCCGTTGATTAACCCTTACTTACGTATGTGTGCCTTTCTTTTTGTGCATATGTCAGTTATTTTGAAACAGGTGTCTCAAAGTCATTGGCAAGTGTTCTGTACTATTGATCACTGTGGTATCAATGGGGGCTGTCAGGCTTTGACGCTATGCAGTAATCAATGGCTTCTACCCAGCTCTAATCTAGTGTATGTGTTTAGTGCTGTTGTGCTCAAGCACCATACAGGAACAGAGGGATATTAAATGCAACCTCTCATTTGATTAGCGATGCCCCTTTAGTCACAACACTACGCCATGGAGATGAATATCACATCAGCACTCCAAATACAAGCTCCTGCTCTGGGAGGAAATGTGTTTGCCTGGCTAGGACGCTTGTTTTATATGAATTTTAGTCTCTCAAGATATTCATTTTCTTATGCGTTTTTTAAAGTTTTTTTATATTTGCATCTTTGTATGGGTTTGTTCATATGAATATTTTCATTAACACAAATACTTTTACATTGTATAATTGTTACATACACTGACATTAACATGTTTTACACATGTGGATACAATCTGAATATTATTTTTGCATGCTTGTCCTTTAAGTATTCATAGGCTTTTGTACATAATGTTTACACATTTTGTACATTTGGATATATGCTGAAGCAAATTATAAAAATAGCAATTATAAAAATTATTTACTTACTATATTACATGTACAGCTTTAGAAACCAGTGTAATGGTAACATATACAAAAAGACGTGTATACATTAGAGCTAAACCGATTAGTCGACAATAAAACATTTCAATAACATGGTTTGTCTAGTGTGGCACTACAATTCATTCAAGACTGCAATTCAGACCTCCTGAACGGAATCCAATAGAAGAAGACACACTTATAAGAAGTTCAAACAAAGAGGAATCAGTAGAGTGTGGGAAAGATTTACCAAACTACAAACACAAATGCTTTCATGTGTAAAGGCCCTGATATGCACACTCAAGTTATTTTTCGTTCTTCGCTTATAGGGGTACAAATAAGTTTGACATATGCAAGCAGCATTTTACTGTTAGCGAACATCCTGTTGAGAGTGGCGTTTAGATGAATATGGAAATATATGCTAAATATATGCTAAAATATTTTGTTTTTCCTCTCAATAACAAAATATACACGCAACAAAAAAATTACAGCATTATTTATTTATTTTGTTTAACACAAATCTAAAAAGCTTTGTTGTTTTAATTTCTGATACCTGGCTTTTAATGTGGTAAAGTGCTATATGGTTATAATCTGATCTCAGAAAACACAAGTTTATGGCTGGTGTAGAGTGTATTTGTTGTGACGTAATCGTACCGTTTCGCGGCTCTTCTGTTGTAACAACTTCCCAGTCCCTCAGGCTGAATTCCTGTAGTTTCTCAGCTCACTTCGAAATGATTCATTATTTTTGGTAGTTTCTGCTAGAGAGCTACAGCTGCAGGCATGGAAAAATGTGTCAGCGATCTAAACCAAAGGCCAAAGAGATGGCAAAACTTGAAATGGTAAATTATTTATTTTTGTTTTGATATCTCTGTTATATGTCAAAACTCTAAAAACAAATTTTATCCCAACAGATCTGTGGTATATTTTATATATCCGTATTCAGGTAGAACAAAATAGAGAAAGAATACAAGTAAGCTTGAGGTAACTAGAAGTGGTGTCTGATTTCTACACTGTACACAAAACTACCATTGGTTCAGTTTCTTTTAACACCTTTTCGACTTCTGCCACTGTCCTTTCACCTTTTGCTCTCATCGTTCTTCAAGCTCAAGCCTGAACGACTTGTGAAACAGCACGGGCTTGATCAATGTGCTGGTTTGCAATAAATTAAGTTCAAGTGACAGGAGAATGTCCATACTTGTCCTACCAGGTAGTGACTGTTGATTGGTGACACCCGCCCAGGCTCCCAAACCACTGCTGAATCATCAGAATTGGCTGATTTAGTTACGGCAACCCAGACAGGCCAATTTATCAATTGTTCGACTGGATAATGCATTGCTTACCTGGGTCAAGGGAGCTTGGACTTGTGGCTAGAGGTTGAGGGGGTCAAGGGGTTTGTGGGTGTGGTGGTTCACCTCACTAGCCTGGCCTGCAGTCCACTAAAGAGGATTTAGGAAGTTGGTTAGCAGAGCTTAATCTTGCACTTAGCGGGACGAGGCACCCCTGTGGTCACACTGCGTTTAGAGAAGATGGATGCCTATGTTCTTCGGCTCTCCAGGGGGCTACACAGAAAGCCTTGATCAAGAGGCAGGGTCTCCGAACACTCCATCAGCCTAACAGCGCTGCTACCAGCCACACACGCACGGAGCCTTTGCAACCCAAAGGATTGCTTAAGAAGAACTATAGCGAAGGAAATAGAAGTGCTGGGATGGATAGATTAGAAGCACATATGAGATTTGGTGTCACCTCCTACTGCAGTACTGGGGGCGGATGAAGATGCTATTTTGTGACTTACTTTGAAAAGTTGGGTCACCAGCACTTTATGCGCATCAAATACCTTGACAAATTGCTTTTTTTCTTTTTTTTAATGGCGAATAGGCTTTCACGCTAGAACTGCCAGGGGTCGCTGTATACCTAAAACCGCCAGCGGGTAAATTTTACCCACGCACATGACAGCTGTTTCTGAATAGCTAAAGAACATATTATTTCATTGTATTATGCTACTGTCTTCACAAAGAAGTGTCTAGAGTCATGAAATTATGTCTAGTCATCAACTAGGCTATATTTTTGTCCTATTGTTTTATGTTCAACACTTTTTTTATGCAGGCTACACTAGTCACTTTTCATAACGGTCAATATTAAGCTAAACAAGCCTGCACTGACAACGAGAATTAGAAGGAAGTAAATACATATTTAGGTGGTGTAACTGGCTATTATAATACAATGTCATTAATCAATATATTAGGATAACCTATGTTATTTAAATAACTAAAATAGCCTATAGACAATAATGAGCAATAATAGGAATTCACCACATTGCATAGGATGATGCGATGACAAATTCAAGCGCACAGCTTCACCTAATTAATTATTTGTTTAGCTATATCATTTATAATTTGAATTATACAAGAAGAACACCAATAATTAAAAAAAAGGTTTTATTCATTAGCCTACATCAGACTGGATGTTTTTTCTTCAGGAAACAGGCAGACTAGAATAAATAGCATCACAGATGCGAACAATAAACGATAGAAATGGCAAAACAAAAATTAAATAATTAATCCAAATGTTGAACAATTATGAGTAACATTAGGATAAAACGTCTAAATATGATATAGGCCTATTGATCGCCGACAGGACGCTTTACTTATCTCCCCACCATCAGACTCTCCATCACTCATGGCATTTAGTGCTTCTTATACCTCTTCAGCATTCATAAATCGCCTTATTTACTCATTTTGTCTTTATTTGTGAAACTGATAACTGCTAATTCAGTGAGTGAAAGGCGTTGCTATGTTAAAACATAAGCAGCACAAAAATGACAGCGCGAACATACAGGCATTATATAGCGGGTAAATTTGACCCGCGCTGGCGCTTATAGGTATAAATGCCCTGTTTTTTGATCTGGTTTTATCTATACAGTTTTTAACAACAGGGGATTGTGAATCACACAATTTTAGTAAAAGTCAGTGACTGGGAGACTTGAATGTTTAATTAAAAATATTTGATGTACGTTTTAAAAACAGCCACGGGTAAAATTTACCCTGTGGCCGTTCTAGTGTTAATGCTATATCAAGCATGAACCATAATTTGTTACTTACAAGTCGGTTGCTGGTGTTATTATGTGGAGGGTCATTCTTAGTCTAGAGAGAATTTGATTGGGGGAAAAGAAGTGTAATGCGGGATAAGTCTTCAATATATTTAGTTTATACAGTCTTGGTCATTACTGTTTAAGCAAAACTAAATAGCTCTCACTTTTAGGAGAACACTAGCATATCAATAGCTTCAAAGCTAACTGTCCAGAATGGACTATGTGGCACAAAACGAACATGATATCAAGACTAGAAGCTGTTAAATTTTATTGAACATCAGAGTAGTGTCGTTTCTTGAATTAATTGTTTTGAAGTGTCTTTGAGCAAATCAACTGAGTGAATAAATCAGAGACTCATTTATAAAGACAAGCTCAATCTGGAATAGCAACTAGCAAACTACTCTTACTGCTTCTGAATGCAGTCCAATTGAATTAATTCCTGAATGAATCAGCATTTTTGAATGAATCATTTGAATGACTCAATGGAAAATCTCCAGGAGTAATGCACAGTTACTGTTGCATATTATATTGTATTATATACTGATCTGATTTGTTTTTGTGAAAAGAGTTGATATTGTATAGCTCAGTTTAAGTCTTTGAATTTATAGTTCAGAATGTTGTCAGT